TATCGCTTGTAATCGCTTGGTAGGTGGAATTAGATTATCGATTAGGTTGGATTAGTTTCTATTCGTGGACATTATCTTTGCTTTCCTTCGTCGATTCATCTTCTGGATCTAGGTTATATGTTAGAGATGAATCACTTCGAATCATTTGGAGTAATTGATGATTTTGATCTGAAATTGATGAAATATTGTTCCTGGCGATTGTTTGTTAGGGTTTTGTTACCGGCGATTGTTTGTTAGGGTTTGATTTCGATCTTTAGTAAGATTATAAATAGTAATTATCACTTCGATTTAGTTGTTCTTTTGTTGAATTGTGATACATTGCAGTAATTTAAGGTTTGATTTTGGTTTTGTTATGAGCAGATGGCTCGTACCAAGCAAACTGCTCGTAAATCTACTGGAGGAAAGGCACCTAGGAAGCAACTTGCTACAAAGGTATGGTCTGAGTTGTTAAATTTGACAGATTGTTGGATTTGTTTGGTTATTAACTTTTGTTTCTATTTTCAGGCTGCACGTAAGTCTGCACCGACCACTGGAGGAGTCAAGAAGCCCCATCGTTACCGTCCTGGAACTGTTGCACTTCGGTATGTGAATCTGATTCCTCCAATATAGTGTATACTGTGTTTTAGGCACTGCTTGATTGATATCTTAATTGACAAACACTGTTTCTTTGTTTCTTGGTCTTGTTCAACAGTGAAATCCGTAAGTACCAGAAGAGTACTGAGTTGCTGATCAGGAAGCTCCCATTCCAGAGGCTTGTTCGTGAGATTGCTCAGGACTTCAAGGTAATTTTCTTATTCGATTTCAACTACTCTCTATGTTTACCATTGTAACTCTTGTGGTGTTTAGTTACTTCATGTTCTTTATCATTTTGTAACTCTTGTGCTTATTGTCTTTGTGATTTGCAGACTGATCTCCGTTTCCAGAGCCATGCTGTTCTTGCCCTCCAGGAGGCTGCTGAAGCATATCTGGTTGGTCTCTTTGAGGACACTAACCTCTGCGCCATTCATGCCAAGCGTGTCACCATTATGCCTAAGGACATTCAACTCGCTCGCAGGATCAGAGGAGAGCGTGCTTAAGTGTCGGATGTGACTGGGTTGGATATGTGAATGTGGTTGTTCTAAATAGATAGATTGAAATTAGATAATGGCTTTTAAAAGCTTTTGGTTCTTTTTAGGAGACTTGAAAACAATGATGGTTTGTTTTTCTTTGTTTCTTCTCTACTCGGATTTATGATTCGGTTGTGTTTAGCTACCTACTACGTTTTGTGGTGTGTACTCTAGAAACACCTTTTGTTGTTGAATTTCATTTCGGAAACTTCTAATATGTTAAAGTTCCTGACTTTTGCTTTCCACCATGTGCGGTTAAATATGTCAATTGTTGCAAGCAAAATTTCAACTTTAAGATTCGTTTCTTAAATCTTAACCTAGTTTTCACAATTTGGTTATCCGTGTGACACTCAAAATACTTGATCGTAGCCGTTGGGTTGGTTTGAGAAAACACAAATTGCAAATGTTATAACCGTTAGATGAGGAATGTGAAGAAGCACAAGGAGCGTATCCGTGATAACCCTTTTTTTTTTTTTTTTGGTCGAAACATATCGTGATATTATATAAATAACCCATTCAACGGCATTGTGGCTGCAACCACAACCTCAATAATTCGATATTACTGCTTTTGTGAAGAAAGACAAAAACAAAACCAAAAGTCAGCCTAAGCGAAGAAGAGGTACGATTTGGGATTCACTTTAGGGTTTTGGTCTTTGTTCTTTCATAGATTCTCTATAACTGTCTGCGATCTGGTTTTCACGACGAAAGTTGAGTTTTGGGTCTTTTCTGATTCTCCGATTTGAAAATAAAACGACCCTTTTAAATCTGCTAGATCGATTATCGCATGTAGATCGAGTCTTGTCTTTTCGTTTGATGATCCACTCTTATTAATTCGTTTGATTCTTGCTTTGTTAGTCTCAGTTTTCGTCGATGTGTTTGTTTGCGATAGTCATTGCATATTGGTGTTTTGATAATTAGGGTTTATAGTCAATTTTCCCCCTTTTAGCGATATCTGGGCTGATACTAATTCATGTACAATCGTGTTGAGTATGCAATTTCTTCATCAATTTAGTTACGGGTCATAAAGAAATCTCCAATTTTGTTGAAAGATCTAATTTTTCTATCATGTTTATCAACAGATGGCTCGTACCAAGCAAACCGCTCGTAAGTCCACTGGAGGCAAAGCTCCAAGGAAGCAGCTTGCTACTAAGGTTTGTTTCTTCTTGTCTCTGTTTATGTCTTGTTGTGTGCTCAAATTGTGTTCTCGTTATGAAATTGAGTTTTGATAATCTTCTGTATTCGACTCAGGCTGCTCGTAAGTCTGCACCAACCACTGGTGGAGTCAAGAAGCCACATCGTTACCGTCCTGGAACCGTTGCTCTCCGGTTTGTCCATTCTTCGATTTCGATTTGATGATATATTGTATTTATGTTACATTGTGTTAATAAAGTCTCCATCTTTTTTTGGGTTTTCAGTGAAATCCGTAAGTACCAGAAGAGTACTGAATTGCTTATCAGGAAGCTTCCATTTCAGAGGCTAGTCCGTGAGATTGCTCAAGATTTCAAGACCGATTTACGTTTCCAAAGCCATGCTGTTTTGGCTCTTCAAGAAGCTGCTGAAGCATACCTTGTTGGTCTCTTTGAAGACACTAACCTCTGCGCCATTCACGCCAAGCGTGTCACTATCATGCCTAAGGATATTCAGCTCGCTCGTCGTATCAGAGGCGAACGCGCTTAAGCGATAACAAGCAAGAACGTCGATCATCGACCTACTGGATTTGGTTCAAGTAGTTTGCAAACTCTCAATTGCTATATGTTTTAGGGAGATATCAAATTAGTAGTCTTTTAAGAATGTTGTGTTGCAAAAACTCTTTTTAACTATTTGTTAAATTATGCTTTTTTCTTTTAAACTCCTTTTGTCACAATTCCTCTTAATGCTTTGATTTTCTATAATTATAAGTTTGTGGGTTTGTTGAACTTGGACTTTGACTAAACTAAGAAAATGTCAGAGGATAAAATAAGAATGGCTATAGAGGAAAGGCTTGATCTTTGGAGATTAGGAACTGGTCCGATTTGATCGGTTCAAAATCAAACCTTCTCCTAAAAACAAGGAAAGTTTACATTTTTTTCTTTATTTGACCATAAAATTTTCATTTTTCAACCTCTTATAGTCCAAATCAATCAAAACCCATTAACCCAAAACTTCCTCTTTCTATTATTCAAACATTCCTCGTAAAAAAAAAAAACTGACTAAAAAAACCACAATCATTGATCATCAATGGGAGAAGAAGAAGAGAAACCGTCCATTGAAGTAGCTTCTTCTCCGAGGTATTCATCAAACAAAGTTGCAGATATTGATACAGAGCTTTCAAAGATGAGAGGAGAAAGCGATTACGTTTCTTTAAAAGCAGAGTTATTGAAGAAAGATTCCTTGTTGAAGAATCTTGAAGCAGAGTTTGAGAAAGTGAAAGAATCAGAGAAGAAACTGATTGATTCTCTTGAAGAATCAAAGGTAGAGATAGCTTCTTTAAAAGAGAGGATTGATGGTTCTCAAGATTCTAGCGAAGACGATGAAGACGATAACTCTGTTCAAGATTTTGATATTGTTGAGTCGATGAAGATTGAGATTGAATCTACGAAAGAGAGTCTTGAAGCTTCTTCTTTGAAAGTATCTGATTTGCTTGAAGAGATGAAATCGGTTAGAAGCGAGCTTAAATCAGCGACTGATGCTGAATTAACAAGCAAGAAAGCTATGGATGATTTAGCATTGGCTTTAAAAGAAGTAGCTACTGATTGTAGTCAAACGAAAGAGAAGCTTGTGATTGTAGAAACAGAGCTTGAAGATGCAAGAATGGAGTCTAAAGAATGGAAAGAGAAGCACGAAGAAGCGAGGAAAGAAGCGGAGTTGCTTAAGAACACGAGCGAGAGGTTAAGGATCGAAGCAGAGGAATCGTTATTGGCTTGGAATGGTAAAGAATCTGTTTTTGTGAGTATTATCAAGAGAGGAGAAGACGAGAAGAATTCGCTTCTTGATGAGAACAATAGGTTGCTTGAAGCTCTTGTTGCTGCTGAGAATTTGAGCAAGAAAGCTAAAGAAGAGAATCATAAAGTTAGAGATATACTTAAACAAGCGATTAGCGAAGCTAATGTAGCGAAAGAAGCAGCGGGATTAGCGAGAGCAGAGAATTCGAATCTGAAAGACGCGTTGCTGGATAAAGAAGAGGAGTTGCAATTTGCTTTGAAGGAGATTGAGAGAGTTAAAGTTAATGAAGCTGTTGCTAATGACAATGTTAA